GCGCCAGACGCCTTAGGCAGCGCGAAATCGCCCCTTAGCAGCGCCAGACGCCACCAGGCAGCGCGATCTCGCCTCAGCAGCGCCAGACGCCTTAGGCAGCGCGAAATCGCCCCTTAGCAGCGCCTCGACGCCACCAGGCAGCGCGATCTCGCCTCAGCAGCGCCAGACGCCTTAGGCAGCGCGAAATCGCCCCTTAGCAGCGCCTCGACGCCACCAGGCAGCGCGATCTCGCCTCAGCAGCGCCAGACGCCTTAGGCAGCGCGAAATCGCCCCTTAGCAGCGCCAGACGCCACCAGGCAGCGCGATCTCGCCTCAGCAGCGCCAGACGCCTTAGGCAGCGCGAAATCGCCCCTTAGCAGCGCCAGACGCCACCAGGCAGCGCGATCTCGCCTCAGCAGCGCCAGACGCCTTAGGCAGCGCGAAATCGCCCCTTAGCAGCGCCTCGACGCCACCAGGCAGCGCGATCTCGCCTCAGCAGCGCCAGACGCCTTAGGCATCGCAAAATCGCCCCTTAGCAGCGCCTCGACGCCACCAGGCAGCGCGATCTCGCCTCAGCAGGGCGGAATCGCCGCAGAAACCACCAGGTACCACCTGAAACGCTATCATGGAAGACGACCCAGGCCCCGGGGACCCCGGGGTCTGGGCGGGAGACGGCGCAAACAACGGCACGACGGAGGCCATCGGGGGCAAAGGGGGGACAAGCACGGCGGCAGTCACGGGGTCGCTCTGCCTAGGGGCTGGCCACAAAAGACGGGGGGGGCCTGAGGGTGCGCTCCAGAGCCCACGCATCTGTCGCCTCCGCCACGAAGACATTCTGTGCCTCTTCGGCAAACCACCCAAGAGGCGGTGTTTTGAAGCGAACCGCCCGATTTCAGCAATTACAGGTGGACAATCCCCCAAGAACCCCCCCAGCAACCGGGCTGGCCAGAGCGGCGTCTCAGAGCCTTCGGCCGTCAACGAAGAGGGGGGAGAAGCAATGGGCGACAAGAGTCTGGCCGCCGATGTGGCATTGGAGGCTGCGAGGGCAGCTTGGGAAGAGCATCGTAGGCGCTTGCAACAACAGCACAACACTCGCAGGAGTGGCCTACCTGAGAGTGCCTGCTCGACCGACGTCGACTCTCCCCTAGTCGTGCCACGTCTCGCACGGCGGCAGGAATGGCGGCGTCGGAGGGCGGCAGGAAGAGACAGGCAACGGGAGCCGCCGGTGGGGGGCCGGTGGGACCTGCAGGCGGGCGGACAGCAGGGGAGCCGGGAAAGAGGCCGACAGCCGCCGGAGGGGACGAGGCAGCAGCGGCTGCAGAGCGGAGGGCAGCATGAGCTGCAGGGCGGAGGGCAGCAGCAGCTGCAGAGCGGAGGGCAGCAGCAGCTGCAGAGTGGGGGGCAGCAGCAACTGCAGAGCGGAGGGCAGCAGCAGCTGCAGAGTGGGGGGCAGCAGCAGCTGCAGAGCGGAGGGCAGCAGCAACTGCTGCAGAGCGGAGGGCAGCATGAGCTGCAGGGCGGAGGGCAGCAGCAGCTGCAGAGCGGAGGGCAGCATCAACTGCAGAGCGGAGGGCAGCAGCAGCTGCAGAGCGGAGGGCAGCAGCAGCTGCAGAGCGGAGGGCAGCAGCAGCTGCAGAGTGGGGGGCAGCAGCAACTGCTGCGGAGCGGAGGGCAGCATGAGCTGCAGGGCGGAGGGCAGCAGCAGCTGCAGAGCGGAGGGCAGCAGGAGCTGCAGAGCGGAGGGCAGCGGCAGCTGCAGAGCGGAGGGCAGCAGCAACTGCTGCAGAGCGGAGGGCAGCATGAGCTGCAGGGCGGAGGGCAGCAGCAGCTGCAGTGCGGAGGGCAGCAGCAGCTGCAGAGCGGAGGGCAGCAGCAGCTGCAGAGCGGAGGGCAGCAGCAACTGCTGCAGAGCGGAGGGCAGCATGAGCTGCAGGGCGGAGGGCAGCAGCAGCTGCAGAGCAGAGGGCAGCAGCAGCTGCAGAGCGGAGGGCAGCAGCAGCTGCAGGGCGGAGGGCAGCAGCAGCTGCGGAGTGGAGGGCAGCGTCAGCTGCAAAGCAGAGCACAGCAGGAGCTGCAGAGGGGAGGGCAGCATGAGCTGCGGAGTGGAGAGCAGCAGGAGCTGCAGAGTGGAGAGCAGCAGGAGCTGCAGAGTGGAGAGCAGCAGGAGCTGCAGAGTGGAGAGCAGCAGGAGCTGCAGAGTGGAGGGCATCAGGAGGAGCAGAGTGGAGGGCAGCAAGAGACATTGTGGGTGAGCGATGTGGAGATGGTGGACGAGGCAGGCACCGACGAGCTGGAATCAAGCCCCATGGAGGGGGAGAATGCCAACCCCGACTCCTCGGACCAAGCGGAAAGGCCCCGAGTGCGGGGGCGGGTCCGGAGGCGACGGGCAACCAAACTGCTACAGCTGCAGAGGGGAGGGCAGCAGCAGCTGCAGAGCGGAGGGCAGCAGCAACTGCTGCAGAGGGGAGGGCAGCAGCAGCTGCAGAGCAGAGGGCAGCAGGAGCTGCAGAGCGGAGGGCAGCGGCAGCTGCAAAGAGGAGATCAGCAGCTGCTGCAGAGTGGAGGGCAGCAGGAGCTGCAGAGCCGAGAGCAGCAAGAGCTGCGGAGTGGAGAGCAGCAGCAGCTGCAGAGTGGAGGGCAGCAGGAGCTGCAGAGTGGAGGGCAGGAGGAGCTGCAGAGCGGAGGGCAGCAAGACCCACTGGGGGAGTTGGATGTGGAGATAGAGGCCGAGGCATACACCGACGAGCTGGAATCAAGCCCCATGGAGGGTGAGAATGCCAACCCCGACTCCTCGGACCAAGCGGAAAGGCCCCGAGTGCGGGGGCGGGGCCGGAGGCGACGGGCAACCAAACTACTACAGCTGCAGAGGGGAGGGCAGCAGCAGCTGCAGAGCGGAGGGCAGCAGGAGCTGCAGGGCGGAGGGCAGCAGCCCAATCAGAGCGGAGGGCAGCAGCAGCTGCAGTGCGGAGGGCAGCAGGAGCTGCAGGGCGGAGGGCAGCAGCCCAATCAGAGCGGAGGGCAGCAGCAACTGCAGAGCGGAGGGCAGCAGCAACTGCAGAGCGGAGGGCAGCAGCAGCTGCAGAGCGGATGGCAGCAGCAGCTGCAGAGCGGATGGCAGCAGCAGCTGCAGAGCGGAGGGCAGCAGCCCAATCAGAGCGGAGGGCAGCAGCAACTGCAGAGCGGAGGGCAGCAGCAGCTGCAGAGCGGAGGGCAGCATGTGCTGCAGGGCGGAGGGCAGCAGCCCAATCAGAGCGGAGGGCAGCAGCAGCTGCAGAGCGGAGGGCAGCAGCAGCTGCAGAGTGGAGGGCAGCAGCCCAATCAGAGTGGTGGGCAGCAGCAGCTGCAGAGCGGAGGGCAGCAGGAGCTGCAGAGCGGAGGGCAGCAGCAGCTGCAGAGCGGAGGGCAGCAGCCCAATCAGAGCGGAGGGCAGCAGCAGCTGCAGAGCGGAGGGCAGCAGCCCAATCAGAGCGGAGGGCGGCAGAAACTGCAGAGCGGAGGGCAGCATGAGCTGCAGGGCGGAGGGCAGCAGCAGCTGCAGAGTGGGGGGCAGCAGCAACTGCTGCAGAGCGGAGGGCAGCATGAGCTGCAGGGCGGAGGGCAGCAGCAGCTGCAGAGCGGAGGGCAGCAGGAGCTGCAGAGCGGAGGGCAGCAGCAGCTGCAGAGCGGAGGGCAGCAGCAACTGCTGCAGAGCGGAGGGCAGCATGAGCTGCAGGGCGGAGGGCAGCATGAGCTGCAGGGCGGAGGGCAGCAGCAGCTGCAGAGCGGAGGGCAGCAGCAACTGCAGAGCGGAGGGCAGCAGCAGCTGCAGAGCGGAGGGCAGCAGCAGCTGCAGAGCGGAGGGCAGCAGCAGCTGCAGAGCGGAGGGCAGCAGGAGCTGCAGAGCGGAGGGCAGCAGCAGCTGCAGAGCGGAGGGCAGCAGCCCAATCAGAGCGGAGGGCAGCAGCAGCTGCAGAGCGGAGGGCAGCAGCCCAATCAGAGCGGAGGGCAGCAGCAACTGCAGAGCGGAGGGCAGCAGCAGCTGCAGAGCGGAGGGCAGCATGAGCTGCAGGGCGGAGGGCAGCAGCCCATGTCAAACATTGCATGCTTATATTATGTAGGCTGTAGTGGGTTACACCTTAGGGGGTACTGAAAGTTAGGGTTTCCTACTTGTACCAAACTATGTGCTAGTTCAATCCATTCCTGCTCAGTTATTTCTGACATGGTTTCAGAGCAGGTCCTTCGCTAGGACTGTTCTTAGGGCCCACCGACTTACCTACCTGCTTACCTTCACTTGTTTCCGGCCCCGCTGGCCCCGTCGATCTAGCACGATCTAGCGGCCCTGCGGCCCCGTCGAACTTTTTTTTTTTCCTAGCGGCCTCTCACGGCCCCCGTCGCGTCGCCCCTTAGCGCCCCGATCGGCCCCGTCACGCCGCCCGCGAACCGCACAGCGCGCCGCGCTCACAGCCCGCGAACCGCCCACGCACAGCCCGCGAACCGCCTGCGCAGCCCGCGACCAGCCCGCGCAGCCCGCGACCAGCCCGCGCAGCCCGCACACAGCCCGCGAACTGCCCGCGAGCAGCCCGCGACCTGCCCGCGAACCCCCGCGAGCCGCCCGCGACCCGCTTACGCAGCCCGCGAGCAGCCCGCGCAGCCCGCGCTGAGCCTGCGCGGCTCGTGCGCTGACCGCCGCCGGCCCGCACGCTGCCCGCACAGCTCACATACGGCCCGCGCGGCCCGCGCACTGCCTGCTACCGGCCCGCCGCTGCTGAGCCCGCAGCCGCCGCTGCTGAGCCCGCCGCCGCCCGCGCACCGCCGCTGCTGCGCCCGCCGCCGCCCGCGTATCACCGCTGCTGAGCCCGCCCCTGCTGCGCCGGCTCTCGCTGCCGCCTGCTGCGCCTGTGCACCACTGCAGATCCTGCTACTACTGCAGATCCTACTACTGCTGCTTGTGCGCCACTACAGTCCGTAGGCCCCACCGGCCCCGCTGACCCTGCGCACGCCTTTTCAGTGACTTTACTGCTTCTACTACTGCCGCTGTCGCTATGGCTAGTCCTCCTGTTCTAGCTTTCGACGCCGAGGGCCGTCCGGTCAAATTCGAAACCTGGCTAGATGACCTGCACCTTTTCCTACAGCTCACTGCCAAGGAAGATATTACTCTGTACGACCACGCTCTCGGCCATGCGACCGCCCCACTCACTACTGCCCCCCCAGCTGAGCGCTCACAGTGGCAGACCCGTGACGCGCACGCTCGCTTTGCTATTCGCAACTCCCTGCCACTAGATGAGCGCGAGCACTTCGGCCAGTGCAAGACTGCTAAGGACCTCTACACAGCTGTAGTGGCCCGCTACTCCTCACCCGCTTCTGCCACGCTAGGCCGCCTCACTCTCCCCTACCTGTTCCCTGACCTAGCCTCCTTTCACACTGTCGCAGACCTCATCACCCACCTTAAGACTAGTGAGGCTCGCTTTCGCGCTGCCATGCCTGACGAGTTCCTCGCTAGCAACCCCCCCCCGCTCTGGATCACTCTCTACCACGTTGTCACCCGCCTCCCTGACTCTCTGCGCCCTGTCAGGGACCAGTTCCTCTCTCGCTCCCCCACTGAACTCACCGTAGACCTCCTCGAGAAGGAACTGCTTGCAGCCGAGGCTAGTATCGTCGCTGTAGGCACCTCTCGTGGCGACCCCCGCGGCCCCTTCTTCGAGGGGTGCTCCCCTTCCCCCCTCCTCCCCTCTGTCGCCTCTGCTGCTGCTGTCGACCTCCTTGGTACTGAGAAGGTCGGGGCTGCGTCTGCTTCAGGCGGACGACGCAGGGGCAGGAGTGGCAGGAGTGGGGGTGGTGGCGGAGGAGGCGGGAGTGGAGGTGGTGGCGGTGGAGGTGCGACTGGAGAGGCTAGTGGCGGCAGTGGTGGAGGTGACAGCGGCGGTGGGAGTGGTGACAGGGGCGGAGGTGGCATCGGAGGCGGAGGTGGTCGTGGCAGCGGCAGGGGTGGAGGTGGCCGGGGCGGAGGCGGCGGGGGTGGTGGTCGTGGAGGCCCGGGGGGCGGTCAGAGTCAGCAGCCTGCCCCGACCCTTCAGGCCGCCCGTGAGTGGTATGCGCGGCGCAGCGTCACCTGCCAGTACGTTATTCGCACAGGTGACCGCACTGGCCAGACGTGTGGGGGGCCGCACCAGACGGAGCGCTGCTTCGCCCGCCTCAACGACGCGTGGCGCACCCAGTTTCCTGGTGGGGGTGAGCTGCCGCGCTGGGCTGAGCTGCTCAGGAAGGGTGTTGATATTTGGGCACTAGACTTTGATGCTATTCTCACTGCCATGTATGCGATGTCTATTAGTGGAGAGGGTGCTCAGTACTTGCGTGTTCCGCCCGACCCGGGCATTCAGGCCAGCCCCGCTGCTGCTCTAGGTGCTAGTGTGTCTGCTCCCACAGGTACTACTGCAGCTGCTGCTCTAGGTACTTGTGCGTCTGTGCCCCCTGGTACTGAGTTGACTGCAGCACTGCACACCTTCACACTGGACTCAGGTGCTTCTCGCTCTTTCTTTCGTGACCGCACTGTCCTTGAGCCTCTAGCTCGGCCGGTTGCTGTCTCTCTTGCTGACCCCTCTGGGGGTCCGGTCCTTGCGACCTCCTCCACCACCCTTCCGTGTCCAGCGGTTCCGTCCGGCACGCTCTCAGGTCTCTACCTCCCCTCGTTCTCCACGAACTTGGTGGCAGGTAGTGCGCTCCAGGACGGGGGTGTTCACCAGTTCACCCCTGCCTACGAGCGTGTGACTCACTGCACATGTGCTCGGACGGGCCGCCACCTAGCTACTTTCACTCGAGAGCCGGGGTCTGACCTGTACACACTGACCACTGAGTCCCCTCAGGTAGCTGCGTCTGCGTCAGCGTCAGGTCAGCTGTCCGCCCCCTGCTCGTGTCGCTCTCTGGCGAACGACACCGTCCTCTGGCACCACCGCCTTGGTCACCCGTCTGTGCAGCGCCTGCGGGCCATGCACAAACGGGACCTTGTTGCTGGTCTTCCCAGGGTGCTCCCTCCCCTTCCTGACTCCCCTGCTCCTGACTGCATTCCCTGTGTCGAGGGGCGGCAGCGCGCCGCTCCTCACTCCTCCTCCTTTCCCCCGACGACCGCTCCCCTGCAGACGCTCCACATGGACGTGTGGGGCCCAGCCCGCGTCCGTGGTCAGGGTCAGGAGAGGTACTTCCTGATAGTTGTTGACGACTACTCGCGCTACACCACGGTCTTCCCCTTGCGCGCCAAGGGTGACGTCCCTGGTGTTTTGATCCCCTGGATCAGCCGAGCCCGTCTCCAGCTAGGCGAGCGCTTTCACTCGGACTTTCCTGTCCTGCGCTTGCACTCTGACAGAGGTGGTGAGTTTGCCTCCGACCTCCTGGCAGCCTACTGTGCTGAGCACGGCATTGAGCAGTCGTACACGCTTCCGGCCTCTCCACAGCAGGATCGGGTTGCTGAGCGCCGCATTGGCTTAGTCATGGAGGTCGCTCGTACCTCCCTGACCCATGCGGCTGCTCCCCACTTTCTGTGGCCGTTTGCGGTCCGGTACGCTGCGCATCAGCTCAACCTCTGGCCCCGTGTCTCCTTGCCGGAGACTTCCCCGACTCTGCGGTGGACGGGAGAGGTTGGCGATGCGTCGCGTTTCCGGGTGTGGGGATCCCGAGCTTTTGTCCGCGACACGTCTGTGGACAAGCTCTCCCGTCGCGCTCTTCCCTGTGTCTTCCTTGGCTTTGTTCCCGACGCGCCTGGATGGCAGTTTTACCACGTCACCTCGCGCCGGGTTCTGGCCTCTCAGGACGTCACTTTTGACGAGTCCGTCCCCTTCTACCGCCTCTTCCCCTACCGCACTGCCCCGCTCCCCCCCCCGCCTCTCTTCCTCGCTCCAGGTGCTGAGGTACCAGACCCCCTCCCCCCTCAGGGTGCCGCTCCCTCAGGTGTGTCCCAGGTAGACCCGGGTGAGCCTGTCGAGGTAGCTGTTGACTCGCGTCCTGCGTCTGGGGGTGCTGAGCCTGGGGGTGCTGAGCCTGGAGGTGCGGAGCCTGGGGGTGCTGAGCCTGGAGGTGCGGAGCCTGGAGGTGCGGAGCCTGGAGGTGCGGAGCCTGGAGGTGCGGAGCCTGGAGGTGCGGAGCCTGGAGGTACTGAGCCTGGGGGTGCTGAGTCTGGACGTGCTGAGTCTGGGGGTGCTGAGTCTGGGGGTGCTGAGCCTGAGCGTGCTCCACCTGGAGGAGCCCTCTCCTCCCAGCAGCTGCAGGAGAGGTACCTCGAGTACTGCCGCCTCCGGAGAGGTGCTTCTGGAGCTCGTCCCGGTACTTCCCCTCCTACCCAGGAGCTCCCCCCCATTCAGGTGATCCGCGAGTGGTACACGCGGCGCTGCAGTCTTCGTAGTGGTGCTCCTGGTGCTGCGGACCCGAGCGGTGGTGCTGTTGCTGGTGCTGAGGACCCGGACGCTGGAGCTACTGCTGGTGCTGAGGACCCGGGGGCTGGAGCTGCTGCTGGTGCTGAGGACCCGGGCGTTGGAGCTGCTGCTGGTGCTGAGGACCCGACCGGTGGCGCTGCTGCTGGTGCTGAGGACCTGACCAGTGGCCCTGCTGCTGGTGCTGAGGACCCGGGCGTTGGAGCTGCTGCTGGTGCTGAGGACCCGACCGGTGGCGCTGCTGCTGGTGCTGAGGACTCGGGCGTTGGAGCTCCTACTGGTGCTGAGGACCCGGGCGTTGGAGCTGCTGCTGGTGCTGAGGACTCGGGCGTTGGGGCTGCCACTGGTGTCCCTGCTGCTTCTGGAGACGCTGCGCGGCCGCGATCGTACTTCGTACCGCTCCTTCAGCAGGTTCTTGGGCAGGCTCCTCCTCCTTGTCCTCCTCCCTCCGTAGAGTGTCCTCCGCCTGTCCAGCCGCAGTCACAGTTACCGCCTGCCTCGCCTCTCCCTGCTCCCTCTCCTTACGCTGGTCCCACAGGAGGTCTTACAGAGCGTCGTGAGCCTGAGTCTCGTCCTGCGTCGCCTATTCGTACTGCTCGCACTGGTCGTCGTGTCCCACGTGAGCGTCCTCCTCCTGTCCCTGGCACTCACTACATGACTCTGCGTCCCTCCACTGCTCCGCAGCGTGTCCCGCTGCCGTCTCCTCCTGCGTCCTCTCTTCCTACTCTTCCTGACCCGGAGTCTGACTCCCGTCGTGCTGCCAGTCCCACTGTTACGCGTCTCCTCGCTACAGTTGTCACTGACCCGACCTTTGAGTCCTCTGCTGCGTCTGCTCTGGTCGCTGAGTTGGTTGACTTTGCTGCTCGCTGTCGCCTAGACTACGCTGCCAGCCTTGTCGCTAGGTCTGAGTCTGCGTCTGCCTGTCCTCCGTCCGTCGGGGGTGAGTGTGCCCTCGGCACGGACGTCCTTGAGGACAGACAGGAGGAGTTCCACTGCCTTGCTGCTGCTTTGCCCCGTCTCGTGTCCTTGCTAGTTGCCCCTGAGGGAGACCCGGATGCACCAGACATCCCGACCCCACGCTCGTACGCTGAGGCGATGGCGGGTCCCTACTCCTCTCAGTGGCAGACAGCCATGGACGCAGAGATGGCCTCCTGGAAGTCCACAGGCACCTACGTAGACGAGGTTCCCCCTCCTGGGGCGAACATTGTCAGTGGCATGTGGATTTTCAGGGTGAAGCGGCCGCCGGGTTCTCCGCCTGTTTTCAAGGCGCGCTACGTGGCTCGAGGCTTCAGTCAGCGAGAGGGAGTAGACTTCTTTCAGACCTTCTCCCCCACCCCGAAGATGACTACTCTTCGGGTGCTGCTGCACATAGCCGCTCACCGCGACTACGAGCTTCACTCTCTTGACTTCAGCACTGCTTTCTTGCAGGGCAGCCTGCACGAGGAGATCTGGCTGCGTCGCCCCCCTGGCTTCACTGGGTCAGTTCCTCCTGGCACCCAGTGGAGGCTTCAGCGGCCGGTCTACGGTCTCCGCCAGGCGCCACGTGAGTGGCACGACACACTGAGGACGACACTTGCGGCTCTTGGGTTCGCTCCCTCTACTGCTGACCCGTCGCTGTTTCTACGCACCGACACCTCGCTGCCGCCGTTCTACATCCTCGTGTACGTCGACGACTTGGTCTTTGCCACTGCTGACACTGCGGCACTCGCTCACGTGAAGTCGGAGCTGCAGAGGAGACACACGTGCACAGACCTGGGTGAGCTGACGAGCTATCTTGGCTTGCGGATCACCCGGGACAGAGCACGGCGCACCATCACCCTGACTCAGTCACACATGGTGCAGCAGGTTCTCCAGCGCTTCCGCTTCACGTACTCCTCGCCTCAGTCCACTCCTCTGCCTACCGGTCACTTGCTCTCAGCTCTGCCTTCGGATGAGTCCGTAGAGCCGAGTGGCCCGTATCCAGAGCTTGTGGGCTGCCTCATGTACCTGATGACCTGCACTTGACCTGACCTTGCATACCCTCTTAGCATCCTAGCACGCTATGTCGCTCCTGGCCGTCACCGGAAGGAGCACATGGATGCTGCTAAGAGGGTGTTGCGCTACTTGTGCAGTACGTCGGGCATGGGGCTTGTGCTTGGAGGGCGAGACCGGGTTGTTCTCACAGGGCACTCAGACGCTTCTTGGGCAGACGACCAGGCTACTCAGCGGTCGTCCCAGGGTTACACCTTCAGCCTTGGCTCTGGCTCAGTTTCTTGGCGTTCTACTCGCTCTTCTTCTGTTCTCAGCTCCAGTTGTGAGGCTGAGATCTACGCCACAGCCATGGCTGCTCAGGAGCTACGCTGGCTGACCTACCTGCTGACCGACCTCGGAGAGCGGCCTCGTTCTCCTCCAGTGCTGTACGTCGACAACAAGGCTGCCATTGCCTTGTGTGAGGAGCACAGACTGGAGCACAGAACGAAGCACATCGCTCTGCGGTACTTCCTTGCTCGAGAGCTGCAGCAACGTGGTCAGCTTTGTCTGCGTTACGTGGCCACGGAGGCCAACACTGCTGATGTGTTCACCAAGGCACTTCAGCCTTGTGACCATCAGCGCTTTTGCACTCTGCTAGGCCTTGTACCTACTGGGCCTCACTTGCTTACCTCTTGACCTTGCTTGTACTGTGATCACTATATATATATGCCTACTTGTTTACTTTTGCTAGGTTGTGATCACTGTATCTCTTGCTTTGTTATAAACCTGCATGTGAACTGGTCTTGTGACCGCTTGCTTGTGCTCGGAATTTGTGTGGAATCCTTGAGATCCACCCTGAGCTTGCTTTGCTTTGCTTTGACTGGTCTTGTGACCCTGTGGTTGTCTCCCACTGTGCCTATGGGGGTGTGTCAAACATTGCATGCTTATATTATGTAGGCTGTAGTGGGTTACACCTTAGGGGGTACTGAAAGTTAGGGTTTCCTACTTGTACCAAACTATGTGCTAGTTCAATCCATTCCTGCTCAGTTATTTCTGACAGCCCAATCAGAGCGGAGGTCAGCAGCAGCTGCAGAGCGGAGGGCAGCAGCAGCTGCAGAGTGGAGGGCAGCAGCCCAATCAGAGCGGAGGGCAGCAGCAGCTGCAGAGCGGAGGGCAGCAGCAGCTGCAGAGCGGAGGGCAGCAGCAGCTGCAGAGTGGAGGGCAGCAGCCCAATCAGAGCGGAGGGCAGCAGCAGCTGCAGAGCGGAGGGCAGCAGCGGCTGCAGAGTGGGGGGCAGCTGCAGCTGCAGTGCGGAGGGCAGCAGCAGCTGCAGAGCGGAGGGCAGCAACAGCTGCAGAGCGGAGGGCAGCAGCAGCTGCAGAGCGGAGGGCAGCAACAGCTGCAGAGCGGAGGGCAGCAGGAGCTGCCCGATGGGGTGCAGCTTGCGAGGCTGCCAGAGGGGGAGATGGAGATGGAGTCGAGCAGACAGGTCTTGCCGGCGTGTTCGAGTGGAGAGGAGCACCCAGACCCTATGCTGACACCCCCGCCCCGCATCCCGTGCGAAACCTGTTATCGCACTTTCACGGAGAGAGGAAAGGCCACGCGTCATATGTCGGCCTGCAGGGCAGCGGACGCCAAGCGCCGTGCACAGGCGCTTGGGTTGACCCGCGACGTCACAGACGACTCGGACAGCGAACCTCCGCCACCACGGGATATCAGTGAAGAGGTGTGGGCCGCAGTTCCCACATGGGACTGGGAGTCGTTTTTCGGGATCGAATTGGTGCCAGGGAGAATCATGCGTCGCATCCCACAGCGCGCAAGACTGGGGGTGCTTGATGCACTAGCTTGTATCCTGAAGCGGCTCAAGTCAAAGGCAGCAGACGAGGCGGCATCCTTGGTGTTTTTGGCCTTCCCTCGTCTTTTCTTGGGGATTCCAACCGGGCAAGGCCAGGGGCAGAGGGCGGCAATTAGGGAGCGGTTGGAGAAGTTTTGGGCTGGGGAGTGGCAGCAGCTGTTTGAGTTGGCGGTGGCGGCGATGCAACCTGCGGCTCGCCCCTTGTCCTTCACCCCACCCGAGCATGATCCTGATGCCGTGCGCCTATCCCGCTGCCGTACAAGGTGCAAAGTGGGAGAATGGAGTCGGGGTTTGGCGTGCCTTACGGCTGGTAGCATCGCTCAGCCCTCTCAGCACATGGTGGACGCGCTACGAGCGAAACACCCATCGTGCGAGTCCGCCATTCCTGGGTGGGTGCAGGAGGAGACAGTCGAGCCTTCCCTTATCCCACAGCTCTCAGTGGAGGTACTCGGCCAGGCGATCCACTCAGCGGCTAGGGCGTCCGCACCAGGACCGTCGGGGTGGGTGACGGAGCACCTGCGCGACACTTTTCTCTCTGAGCCCGCGTATCTGTCCCACCTGCTAGAGGTCTTCACCCAGTGGACCAAGGGAGAGGTAGCGGAGCGCGTGCGACCCTGGCTCACTGCGTCCAACTTGGTGGGCCTGTCGAAGCCGAATGGTGACGTTCGCCCGGTGGCTATAGGCGAGGTGCTCCCCCGCATACTATCTCGGGCCATATGCATCGTGCTTCGCCCGAAGATGATGTCGCACTTTGC